ACACACACACACACCAAATGTTGTTTTAGTTAATAGAAGTTAATTGAGAAACAAAATCAATTTATGACATTATTTTTGAAAGCATCCTCACTTTACAGCATATTCACACATGTACCTAAAACTCTTGACAGTATTGTAGCTTTGTAGGTAGGTTTCTTTAAGCATTTCCACAGTTCTTCTGGATTTAGTCTGTGTCAGTTTTTTGTTTCTTCATGTAATCCCAGATGGATCATATTTTTGTTGGTGAAAATACTAATGGCACAGTAGTGTGTGTGTGTGTGTATACTTGTATATATACAGTACATTTATTTATTTATTTGTTTGTTTATTTGTATTTTGTTGCTTTGTTATTTATTTGTTTACTTATTTTAGTTTTTATTAGTTTTATATTTATTTTAATATTTATTTGTGTTTATTATTAGTTTATTGCTTTTTATTTAATTTTGTTTAATTTTATTTTTACATGTTTCATGTTTTAATTATTCATGAGGGAGGCCCACTAAACATGTCTTTAGGCATCCGTTGATATGTACAAATGAAATCAGAATTAAATTAAAAATTTTTAGATTTTTACATTTTTAGATTTTATTTTTTATTTTTTTTATTTATTAATAATTTCTTGCCTTAGCAGGGCACTTATTTATTCATTAACATTTCGCCTTTTTTAATGTTTATTTATTAGTCTATTTGTTTTTAATTTAGGTAGATTTACAGTGATAGGATATAGGAAGTTTGGAATTTTTTAGTCAGGTTTTAGGACATCTAGGAGGACTCTATGAGCACAAGGAAGGCTCTGAAACTTTATCTGCTGTTAACTTACAGTGTGCTTTGTCTATGAATTGATCTCATAGTACATAATATTTGTTTTTTATTTTCTCATAATTTTTTGAGGTCTTTGCCTCCTCGGAGAAAAAGTCCTTGACAAATTGCTTCACAGTCTATGACTGTACTTCCACTTCCAGCACATAACTTCCAGCAGAGTTTAGCTCAATCGGTGCACACCTGATTCAGTAAATCAAGGTCTTCAGGTTCACCAGACACCTACAGGCAGCTGTGTTTGAACAGGTCTGACACTAAACTCTGCAGTAAACTCCATCTCCACCAACAGGACTGAGCACTTCTGCAATAAATCATTCAACTCTTTGCAGCTGCGGTACAAACAGGAGAGAACTACAGAAGCAATGCAGAAATAATGCATAACAAATCCTATTTAAACCTGAGAGATAGTCTGGTCATGAGATATTGCTCAGTATATTGAGAAGAAGTAACATGAAGTGCATGAACTAAAGAACTAAACCAATGATTATCGGAATTTTGGTTTTGTATTATGCATGATTTTTGTGTTGTTTCTTTCTTTTTTGGTTCTCAGACACGGTGAAGACCTGATTGTAACTCCTTTTGCTCAGGTACATTTTGCTCTTGCTTTCTGGATTGGAAAACTAAGACCAAAATGTAAATAATTTGACATGTGTGGACTGTTTCAAGTCCTTTCACATCTCCGTTGCTGACTTTTTGTTCAATAGGTGCTTGCAAGTCTTCGCACTGTTAGGAATAATTTCAGCATCCTCACAAATGTCCAGTGTCCCTCCAAGTAAGTGATATTTACATTTGTTTCATATAATGTAATGTGAGAAAATACCACAAGAGGGCAGAACTCACTTAATATGACTTTTTGTCAGACTAGATTGATACTACATTAACCTACTGTACTGACCTTCCTCCTTATAATGATAATGGTAAATGTGTATTGATTAATTTTTTTTTAATTTGCTTGGTCATCGTAACAAAATATACAGATACTTTGACTTTATTAAAAAAAAATAAAAAGAAATGTTGCTCATAAGTTATTCAGCAAACACAAGTCTAGTGTGCTCAGTTGGTGATTGAATTATCACTTTCTATTAAATTTAAATTCCTGCTTTCGTCTTATTAATGTGTTTTTTTTCCTGCTTCACTTAACAGAAGATCACCAGTCAGCAGTCAACCGCCAGTGACCAAAGCCAACCTGTCAGGTAAGATCCTCACAGACGTTAAACTGAGGAAAGTTCCCTTACAATGGTGGTTAACCTCAATGTGGCATCAGTCAGTAATTACAAAGCTGCAGACCTATAGCTGAATTACTCATATCATCTTCACTTGAAGGCTTACAGCATCATGAAGGGGATACTATGATCTGCGTTATGAATAAATATGAAACGACAAACAAGTTATTAGCTAAATTGAGAGAAGGACTGGGGAAAAGGGAAATCTCAGTGGAGGATGTGAAATGTGTCAAGTCTTGTAAAGGCTGTCAAGAACCGTTTCATATTTCACCCCAAAATAGAAAAAAGTAAATTGAATTAAAATTATTTTGTTAATAAAATCAGTATTTAAGACAAGTTCAGTTTTATTTTCCCTGTATTTGGGCAGGACATATCGAAAAACCCAATAAATTAATAAATGGATACTTTTAAACAGGGCCAGAGTGGGGCCTATTTTCAGCCCAGGAGTTTAGTGCCCAAGACCATATGTTTACTCAAATGTTTCAAAAGGAATATACAAATAAATAACAAATGACATACTAAACTTCTTAAGTGACATTCATCAAACTTATGAATACCAAGGTAACAAATTTAGGTTATAAAAATGTTTGTGGGAACATTGTTTTGAAATGTTTATAAATCGTTTAAATGTCTATTATTTGTCGTTGCGATAGCCCCGTGGGCAGCGTGCCGATATACAGCGCCGATGCGCTACGGGCGTCCCGAGTTCAAATCCCGGCTCTCAGGCCTTCCCCGATCCCATCCCCCCTCTCTCCCACTTCTATTCTCCCGTCAGATCTAGACTGTCATATCGTAATAAAGGCAAAAACGGCAAAAATAAGTCTTTAAAAAAAAAAAGAAATGTCCAGTATTCTTATTGTGATTAGAATGTTACGAATGTTACGCAAAAACTTTTCTTACAATTTTCTAGTAAATCTCTCAGGCCTTCCCCGATCCTATCCCCCCTCTCTCCCACTTCTATTCTCCCGTCAGATCTAGACTGTCATATCGTAATAAAGGCAAAAACGCCAAAAATAAGTCTTTAAAAAAAAAAAGAAATGTCCAGTATTCTTATTGTGATTAGAATGTTACCTAAAGGTTGCAAAAACTTTTCTTACAATTTTCTAGTAAATTTATTTTGACCCAAAATATAACATTATTTGAATGTTTATTTTTAACATAAAAAATGTCCAGTTTTCTTGTTGTGATTAACAATATTAAAATGTTGCAAAAAAACGTTTTCTACAACGTTCTACAGCAAAAAAAAAAAAAAAAATTCTTACAACATTCTACTTCCTTTTTCACTAAAAATAGAATATTAATTTTGATATTCTAAAAACGTTAAAATGTCCAGTTTTTTGTTGTGATTATTATGTTATTTAAAGGTTGCAAAAGTGTTTCTTGCAACATTCTGAAATGCCAACATTCTGATGCCAACCCTGAAACAACATACAGAACTACCACATTTTGCTATAAGTTTGATTGCATCATATAATAATTGTTGTTAATAGTAATCATTTGTTTGATTATGTCCTTAATTGATTTTTCCGTACATTTCTGCCATATGTAAATTAACTGACAGTCACCACTACTAAGGTACCACTAAATATTGTAGAAACTTAATTTGCTGTAAAGTTGCTTTGCAACGATTTGTATCGTGAAAAGCGCTATACAAATAAACTTGAATTGAATTTAATTGAATTCTACTAACTTTATTTTGACCCAAAACATAGCATTATTTAAATGTTTATTTTTAATATTCTAGGAACATTAATACAGTATGTCCAGCTAGCTCGGCAGGCACAGCTGAAAAATACATCACGTACAAATTAAAAAGACAAATAAATTAAAATGAATAACAGACAGCAGTATAGAATACTCTCTTCTATAAAAACCTTGATCTTGTTTTGATGATTTTTTTTTCTCAGGTGGGAAAAATGTTGAGTCATTTACAGAGTTTTTAAAAACATTTGCAGATAAATCAAAATGTTTCCATAATTTTGACAGAAAAGAAAATAAATAAAAGAAAAAGAAAATATTTAAACCTAGCACCTAAACCTTTATTTTACAACTTGAAAGCATAAGATCCCACCCTCCCTGCAAAATCAGTCTCCAAAGCCACACCTCCTGCAAAACACATGAACACGCACAGGCAGACCAGAGGCTAACCAGCGACACGTTGCTGGAGGGTTGAATGCAGCGCTGTCAGATTACCTCATGGCCACATTCACACAGCACAGCAGCAGAATACAGTTGTTAATCCTGTTTTTGAGTCCTTAATGAAGACTTGACGGAAGAACTCGCGGCTCGATTGGATTGTCGTGTCAGAAGGTGATAAGACTTTCAGTTTTATGGACGTTGCCATCTTTGATATTACTTTGGTCACTGTCGCTATGGTTACTGGTAAGGAATACAAGCTTGACTCACGTTGCACGTTTATACAGATAGTAAGCCTATTCCAAACGCAACTAAGTTGCTGTGTGAACGGGACATTTCGAGACTCACACCTGTAAGTAAATGCGGTTGTCAATCCCAGAAACTGACAGTAGCTATGTTTCCATCCAAAGATGCAAATTTAACTTATGCGCAAAACTGGAATATTGCATAAAACATTTGCAAATAAAGCACCATTTCCATCCAATGAGTCAAAGAGAACAAAATCGTCACTTCAGATACCACAGATACCAAAGATAACAAGAACTCGGCATCCACTCTCTTCTCTCTCTCAGAATACTCTTCTTCTATGTTATTTGTTTACACTGGTTTTCGAAACAGCGCCACCACTCTTGCCTTTTTGTGCAACAGCAGCTGCTCTGTCACGTGATCTTAGCTCAGATCTGATTGGATGGCCCGTTTCATCGCGGAGCGACAAGGAAAAAAACTACACACACCAGGGGAAAAAAAATCCTTGCTTTTTCGCATTGCGAATGATCACGCCTGGTGTGAATAGCCCCATAGGGATCTATTGTTTTGATTCAAAAGCAACATTGCGCCGAATTTTCCCGTTCAGTATGAAAAGCCTTTAATGTATTTGGTCATGGCGGAATAGATCTGCTACGCTGCTGCTGCTGCTGCTGCTGCTGCAGAGCAAGTACCGAGACTTGCTACTGCCAATGCATCCACAGACATTCTGCTGTGAGCATGTAAGAAATACCGCTGCTGCACGTATATCATATATGAAAACCCCCCTAGCATACATAATCACCCCAAAGCAGATCTATACAGGTGGAGCTGGGGAAGGTGGAGGGTTCCTGAAGTGCTGCTACCATAAGCATTAGCCAAATATTTGAATGTTTAGCAGTGAGCTCATTGGCTATCGATACAGGAGAGAACCAATCAGCTGTGACATGATAATGATGTCAGTATGTCATATTGAGTTAGATCTATCGGACTGCGCCATCTAGAGCTTCATGCCTGAACTTTGTATATAAATATATTTAGACCACTTAACTTAGTGATTGCTATTGGGATGTGAAGAGACTTTCAACCAGCATAACAAAAAACCAAATCACCTACCCTGCCTTTAAATATGTCACAGCCACAGAGCTTGATTTGCTAGTGCCATTGCTAGTCAGAAGTAGGGAGGAGCATTCTGATTCCATTGGACAAAATTTGATTGGGCAAAAAATTTGGTATGTTTGTGACTGCAAAGTTGAGTCATTTTTGGTCAGTTTTTCCAGTTCAGTTTGTCATAGTGTCTAGAATATAGATGGTAGACTAAGTCTAGTCTACCATCTAGTCTACAGAGTGTTTTCACACCTGTCTCATTTGGCGCTTTTGTTTCAGAACCTTGAGCATTTCTATATTAATAATATGCAGAAAAACTGAAAAGGTAGTGGCTATTTTCTGCCGGGACATTTTGGTATGCTTTGAAATGTTGCCTTGTGAAAGTGAACCCAAACCAAGAAGAAAATGCAACTTTGTCGCAATTTAAGTCCCTGTTTCGCAACGAAGCAAAAGGTCTGAATATGTCTGAATATGTCTTGTTCAAATGCACTCAAATGCAATAAATGCTATTATGATAGATAAATACTTAATAATAATACATTCATTAAATAGATTTTTATAAGCATAATTTTCATAACACAAAATATAATTTCTGATTTTTCTTTCTATTTTGGGATGAGCCAGCATGTCTTTGTTTTTGTGAAATTAAGCAGCAGGTGTTGTTGGTCTCTTGTGCGTGTTTTAAAGACTCCTCAGCACCATTTGTACGATGGCCACCAAAACTCTCTCCATCTGAGCGGCCTGAAAATCCCAGCCTCTTTGAAGAAAAGAGAAATGAGGGTGTGAGTGTGAGTGTGGGTGGAGGGGGAAGAATGAAAGCTTGAGTAAGATAATATGTTTGTATGACCTCTTACACACACACACACACACAAACCACAAAGACGCAATGTGCGTAAATGCAGCACAGCGACACATATAAAAAGCTGTGTTTATTGCATGCATGTGTGTGTGCGTTTGTGCGGGTGTGAATAGTCATGCGTGCGTAAGCATGCATAATTAAAAAGAGCAGGATTGTGTGCGACACAGCTCTGTGCTTAATATTCATGAATGTGTTCAGAGGTGGTTTGTGTGAGAATTTACAAGTAGGCAAACCTTGTTAAATCTGTTATGAACCCAGTCCAGGTCATATTTCACCGCAAAATCAAAAGAAAAAAAAGCACTAAATAACATTTTTTATATGTATTATTTAAATAAATAAATTAAAATCATTATGATCAAGGGTTAAATTAGGAATTGTATATTTTTGTATTTGTTAGAGAAAAAAATAACTACAGTACATATGAATACACAAATACACACAGATACAGCCTTTTAATAAACCATCCAAACTTTCTACTGCATCCCAGCTAATAAAAATATGTTTTGTAAACATTCCAATTAGTTCTGAAAACACTATTTCTGAATGTTTTTTTAAACGTTGAGTTTTTTAATGTATTAAGAATGTTACTTCTTGATTATGTTACAGTTAGAGGAACATTCCATTC